AGCCTGGTTTGTATATATATATATATTGTAAAGATCATACCTATATATTTTAAATACACTGATTTGAGCGTGTTTACAGGTTGATCTTGAGTAATGTCCACACATACAATGTATTAGTATAGATTTTCTTATAAGATAGAGGTGTGTGTTGAATATTACATATCAACAAAAATTCCATACGGTTTATCAGACACCTTTAAGCTGCTGCTTTGGTATCTCACAGATTAACGTTTGTAGCAAATGAAGGAAGATTAATTTCAAAAGCAACCATTCGCAATTCTATAGTAGGACAGTTTTGCCTTCTCTGGGTTTAGGCTTAACTTCAAACGCTAATGAAGCACACTTTTAGGAATGTTGTGCACCAGAAATTCAGAAATAAAAAGGACAAAAAGCAAACAAACTAACGATGAATAAGTTCCGAAAAACTAAACATTTTTATCGTTGGACTCGTTTTTTAGTTCAGATAAAATTGTTTAAGTACAGATGTGAAAGTAAGCTAAGAATCCATAAATCTATTCTGTTGACAATCTGCAAAATTTCTTCTGTTTTGACAAACAAAACGAGATACATTATTTCTACCTCGAGGATGTTAATCTATAACTACTAGAGCAAGGTCTTATAATGTTAATAACTAATGTTGATATTTATAATAATACTGAGATGTTTGCATATTCTCAGTAGTTGGTGAAAGCTAAAGAATACTGTATACAGTGAGTACAATTCCATTGTCAGTTCTAGTTGTCACCTTAATAACATATAGGATTGACAATGGAATCTTTATTAAAATCTTTTTAATGTTTATTTTATCTTAAGTTCATTATTGTTTTATAGTGCTGAGTTTGATCGCCTATTGACAATTAACGTAATTAACACTATTGAAGCTATTTATTTCATATATATATATTAAGCAAATTACAGTAAAGAAAAAACAAACCCGAGCCTGTGTGACCCCCCCCACCAAATGAAGTACCTTGTAGTTAAGTTTATGTGTCATATTGTAACTGTTTCTTCAAGTAAAATCTAATTACTTGTATACTTGTTATAATAAAGCCTAAGTATAATCTAGAACCGAAGAAGTGCGTATTTAATGTTTTTAATAATCCTTGATCCAAAGACAAATAAGCGTCTTTAATGTGTTTAATAATCCTTGATCCAAAGACAAATAAGCGTCTTTAATGTGTTTAATAATCCTTGATTCAAAGACAAATAAGCGTCTTTAATGTGTTTAATAATCCTTGATCCAAAGACAAATAAGCGTCTTTAATGTATATATATTATAAAATACCTTTAAGGAATTCTGTTGAACATATTATAACCACTATTGGGTAAAAAATACTTCGCCTTTGAGTACAAGATGAATGCGATTAGGCACGTTTTTAAAGAATATTAGAAATTTTAACCGCTTGGTGAAGCAGGACACAATCAAGTTTCACCAATAATTTATGGAGTGTTTAATCACTATTTCTGGGTTCTTACTTCAAGATAATCTTAACTTTTTTTATCAGTTCTGATTATTTATATTTTATCAGCAAAGGTTTTAATCTATTTAATTAAATAACTTATCGATACGATGGTTATTATTCTGTATTTGACGAATATTTATCAATAAGACGTTCTTTCTTATTCGAGTAAGTTGTCCTGTAAAAGTCTGTCTGCTATTCTACGTTTTTAGTACGATGCTGGTTGAATATAACTGATCATTACTCCTAGATTAAAATGTGTAAATAAAGCAATTTCGTAAGTATTTACGATAAGGTTGTGGCAATCGAATACCAGTGGTTGTCATGGTTAGTAGCCTTAGGTGATCGTCTAGGTTATTATTACCATGGCCACCATTTCTTAACTTTACACGTCATAAATTTAATTAACGAAAGGCTTAAAGTCTTGAAGAACTCTGTATTTTACACGAATCATCAACAGAGAGAAATGGGCTTGTATTATTTTAACAAATGACAAGGATTTGTTTTGTATTCTAGCACGTAGTTTTCAAAGAGATAAAAGATCTGGTGAACGTAAAATCCAAATTAAGCTCGTGAACTATTCCAGGAAACCTACTCGTCGTAAACACACATAAGAAAATGCAACAGCAAAATGTTGGCTTGCAAATTCTCGTTAATTTCGATAACTGTTGTTCGCCTGTTTCCCATACAAAATGTCAATGTCTTTGTTGGATGAGTTTTTTACACGCAATATTTGATATTTGTTCAACAATAATTTATAGCAATTTTATTACTTGGGATATAAAATTTTACGTTGTTGATATCCATAGTTATGTAGTGGCTCTACAAAACGTACGTTACTGTGTTTAAGTAAGTAGATAATACTACAAATGTGTAAATTTACAAAGAAACGTTACTCAGTTCCTGCTTTTACAAATTTCATGTTATTTTGCAGTGAAAACAGGATGAATTGGTTGTTTATTTGTCATATTCTCTACGCCTTATGAGCAAGGCCTAGGGATTGACTCTTTTAATATCTTACAGGGAAATACTGACCAAATTAAACACTTATGAAAACACATGCTTTCTAGATATCCAATCTTATTTAACAATATTATGAATATAATTATAAATGCTTAAAATAATTTTATTTGTTATAAACAATTATATAAATCCCAAGTGTTACAAACGTACCTATAGATGCCAAGGTGTACCTAAACATCATAAATGCCAAATATTACACCAACGTCAAAAATGACTCAAAGTGTTGTAACTGTAAACATAAATATTATAAAGATGATAAACTAAAATATTATAATATAGCAAAAGCACGAATTAATCAAGTGAAAAAATGAGCTAACGTATTCTGGAAGTAAAACAATCTAAACATTTGGTTTTGTTCATACAAGTACAATTATATAAGAACAAGTTTTGTTTTTTCTGATTGTTTTACCACAAAGATACACAATAGACCATCTGCCCTCTGTCCACCGCGGGAGAACTGAACTCCGGATTGTATCGTCAGAAGTCCGTAAACTTACCGCTGACCCACTGGGGGAACATATAAAAACAAAAATCTTTAAAAGCTACATTACGTTTGTTACTTAAAATGTGCATATTGTCCAGTTTAATTGTTAATCGATTTGATAGGTGTTTGGTCGTGTTTGTCTATGAGGGGCAGGTTTTATGAATTTATCCATTTTCCGGTTTAATAATTAAATACCCGAATAATTACATTTCGTGGACTTATTGAAAATCTGATTAAAACTTTGTTATAAAAATATACCAGAGATATTACGCGTTTGAAAATATTTTTTTTTACATGTAGTTTTGTTTGATTGTTTTAGCGCAAAGCTACACACTGGGCTATTTGCACAGGTGGTTTTTTTTTTTGGTTATACTTTAGAAACAAAAACATCACAAAAATTATCTTTAGATTCATTCGTGTTTTCATGAGGATAGCTTAGAAGACCAAATTATCGGTCTTGAATAAATATGACCTAAATAAAACAGATTCATAATCGTGTTCACATGAAAAGAGAGTTATAAATGGAAAAAGAAAAGCTAACTAATGAGAAATAGTTACAATTAAGCGTGTAATGGAGATAGTTTTCGTGGTTTTTTTCAAATGCTGTGGCAGTTGTAATTTAAGACTTCCAACACGAACGGTTGAAATAGTGGTTGTCCAGAAAACAATAGATCCGATAAAAGAGAATATTAAAATTTTTGAATTAGAAATTAAAAGTCAATAAGCATCGATGACAAGAAGGTGAAGATGAAGTCACAGCTTAGAAGGAAACGCCACAGAGTAAACGAAGAAGAAGAAGAAGGATATAAATGCTGGGCAACAATTTAAAAGGTCACAATTTGAAAATAAACTTATAAATACAAGTCAGGTGGTTAGGGCGCTTGACTCGCAAGCTGCGGGTCGCGGGTTCGAATCCCCGTCACACTAAACATGCTCGCCCTTTCGGCCGTGGGGGGCGTTATAGTGCAACGGTTAATCCCACTATTCGTTGGTAAAAAGAGTAGCCCAAGAGTTGGAGGTGGGTGGTGATGACTAGCTGACTTCCCTCTAGTGTGACACTGCTAAATTAGGGACGGCTAGCGAAGATAGCCCTCCTGTGGCTTTGCGTGAAATTCATAACAAACAAACAAACTATAAATACAATGTGATGTTGAACATTTGGAAGACCATGACTTAAGCATATTGGCCCGAAAAAAAGGACATGAGCGATGATTCGCAAACCCATCGTTTTAGAGAAGATGACTAAAGATAAGGGCTGGATCGAGGGCTGGATCGCAAATACTCCCTTTAAAAGAAAATGACTGAAGAGAAGAAGATGACTACTGCCGTAAGCCCATAACTTCAGAGAAAGTGATTGAAGAAGAGGGCGTAAATGGCGAGTATTTATTTTTTTAGAGGAGAGAGTAGTGACGGCACGTGAAATATGGAACCACAGCTCTGCAGTACGGCACGCTAATCACTGGGCCACGCTCGGCCCGGCACACTTTGAGGCAAATTTCAATACTATAATGGATATTTTAAAAAAAATAATATAACAAGTTCACATGCTTAGATAAAGAAGCTTCTTAAAATAAACAACAAAAAACATTTTATTAAAACTTATGGAAATCAAACAACAGAAAAATACTCTTCTTACCTTCTTATTAGTCAACGAAATGCCATAAAACATAAAAACTCAAAACTAATGAGTACAAATAAAGTAACATAATATCTGTCTGGGCACAGTTGACAATAAATTCCTGAGTTGCTTTCACATCGACTTTTCAGTATTTTAATCATCCTTACCAATAGCTTCCCAACATCACACACTCAAAGCACGCGCTCCTGCATGCGCGAGACAAAATTAGGCGGAGCACTCATCGCCATAATCTGATTCGGCGCGCCATTCCCCCAGAGGTAGTCCTCGTTCTTATGCCATCCAATAATACGAACGATGTCGCGGTCACTTAAAAATCTTTCTCAAAATTACGACAGTTAATTTAAAGGGACAAGATGTTAGGACTACCATAAAGGAATCTTTAGCCGGCGCAGAAACTGTGACAGCGTCATTGAATACCCTCACACACCGGAGATAACTGTGGTGACTGCCATTGGAAAAAAAAAAAATATAGTAGAAATGAGGGTGTTCTACATTCTGGGTTATAAAGGCTGTGAACGAGGTTAGAGGAGAACCACATGCTGTAGTTGGCGACCGGAGGTTCTGTAACAGAAGTTCATTCATGACTATAGTGTATAAACGTTAATTGTCTACGTTGAGTTAGCTATCGTAGCCCAACAACACCAGTTACGCCTTGCTGGTGGTCAACAGCAGTGTGTTTGTTTAAAGACTTTAGCTCTACGTGGGATCATGTATCTGTTTCAACTTTCTTAAGTTGTTGTTGCTGGCCTTCATGCTTGTTATATAGTAAGTTAGATGTGATCACCTGGACTCAGAATGGTTCATGTTTATACGAGGAATATTTATTTTCTAAATTGAGTTCTGTGTGATTCAGATAATTCAATATTGATTAAAAAAACAAACAACAAACCTACGACTCTCATGTTCCAATAGTCGAAAGTACCCGTACCAGAATGAACAAAGCCATTGATTGTGGAGCTACGGCGGGATTATCCGATGGTTATGACGAGGATTCCCTACAGGATACTACGGACACTGAATCTGGCTCTCCTGGTGGTTTAGGCGGAATGTCGACGGCAGCTTCGAGCAACGACCCCCTCGAGTCGAACCCGACTATTCAGGATGCCGTGTCTAAAGTTCTCGACAGTTATGACTGGTCCCAAGTAGCAAAGAGCAGCCGACAGAGCGGCGCGGATAAACGGAAACCCCACGTGAAACGACCGATGAACGCCTTCATGGTCTGGGCTCAGGCCGCTAGGCGGAAGCTGGCAGACCAGTACCCCCATTTGCATAACGCTGAACTCAGCAAGACCCTCGGGAAACTGTGGAGGTAAGTTAAACCTGGCTATCATACATGTCATGACCCGGATGATTTAATAACTACAATTTAAATAAATTGCATCTAACTGCCTTGCTCACCACTGGGAAGAGACAAGCAAGCACTATTTTTAATGATAAAAATACACCAAAAACAACAAATAAGCACACTACAACCATTTTGTAATACGAACAATCATGTGCTTAGGAGTCGTTTTCAAACTATTTAAATTATAATCTCCGAGAAGTTGTTTTCAAACAATTTAATTCCAATACCCGATAATTCTGGCTCAAATTTCTTTGTACAATACACAGAGAAGTAATAGATTGTCTGTTTTTTGTTGTTTTTTTTTTAAAAAGTCCTGAGTTTCATGTTACTATTATATTGATTGTGTAGTCATCATTAAGTATATCTATTGATCAATCATATATCCGAGGTTTTAGAAATTTGGCAAGTACGAATAACGCCAGTGTACGCTTTTACAGATCTGTCTATAGTACTACACACTCCTATTTTCGGAAGTTACGGCAACCGTAAGTTGTTTCAAAGTTAATGGATGACTAGCCTATTCCTTACAAATACTATGGAATATAATGATATCACACGGTATAGTTTGTCTGCATGACTACCGTGTTCCTTGCAACCATAGTATAATTATTTCAGATCGGATAGTTTGTCTACATGACTAACCATGTTCCTTGTAACCATAGTATAATTATTTCAGATCGGATAGTTTGTCTACATGACTAACCATGTTCCTTGTAACCATAGTATAATTATTTCAGATCGTATAGTTTGTCTGCATGACTACCATGTTCCTTGCAACCATAGTATAATGATTTCAGATCGTTTAAATAGTTTGTATGTCACTGCATAACTATTCTATTGCTTACAAACTCTGGTATAAAGATTTCAGATCGTATAGTTTGTCTGTAAGGCACTGTATGACTACACTATTCCTTACAAAACACACCAGTTTAATGATTTTAGATAGAACACTAGTTTAAAAAAATACGTAACAAATCGCCTAGTTTTACTTACCAGTTCTTCGAGAAGTAAAGACTCGGAAACAAGAGGGTAGTCCAAGAGTTGGCGATGGGTATTATTGATTAGCTGCCTTCTTTGTAGTGTATCATTTCAAACTAAGGTACGTCTAAGTGTAGATAGCTTTTGTATAGCTTTACGCAAAATTTTGAAAAAAATAAAATTAAGTTTCTCCCCTTTTAAACTTTGAGCTAAGCCTAACGTCTCCTTCTCTCTCCATATATATATATATATATAT